AGATCATACACATCTGCTCTGACAACATCACTCGCTTCTGAAATTTTTCTCTTGTGGTACGTGCTCTCTTGGTTGTTCGGTTTTTCTGGCTAAACACTCACTCGTTCAGCATTCTCGCCCTTGTCTGCTCTGGTCGAGGTAGGCTCTGTTTTCCCCCCCTTCACCTTCTTCAAAAATTGACCGTCTCTTAAGGCTAGATCATACACATCTGCTCCGACATCACTCGCTTCTGATATTTTTCTTTTTGTGGTACGTTGCTCTCTTGGTGGTTCAGTTTTTTCTGGCTAACACTCACTCGTTCAGCATTCTCGCCCTTGCCTGCTCTCGATTTTCGCCATCAAATATTAATAATTTCATTATCTTTGGTACATTTGCAACCTCGCAGCGCATCTGACAGTCTCTGACAATCCCACAGCTATGATTCATACATTCGGTGAATACCCATACCCCCTCGAACCAGGAGCCCCACCCCTCAATCTATGCATCTTCCTCCTGGTGGAGATTACATTCAGGAGCAGTATGGTGGTGGGCATCGTCCCAAAACGCCTCCGGTGGAGTTAACTCCAACCAGACTACAGAGTAGGATCAAGGCTACGCAGCGCGATGTCGGCATTGTCAAAGAGGCTGCCATCCAGCGTCAGGAAAACTCGTTCCCACCTGACGCTCTAACCGTTACTTCAGCACCTGGTAATGGTATCATGGGAGGTGATGTGTCATCTGCTCAGGCTCGTCACCCATCACCACGTCTCCACGATCCCGACCGTCCCCATCCTGCAGCTCTACAGGATATGTTTTACAATACTATGGATGCACAACCGAGTGGATGGTTGCCACAGCACTCGAATTTTGAACAGATGGATGATGCATCGTTCACGGCACTGCTCATGGAGACACAGGGACAGTTTATGTCTTCTGATGCCGGCCCGAGTTTCACCAGCCAGGCTTCCTCCTCGCATGCGCCCTCTCATGAGCCTCCGGCCCCTCCAGAGCCTCCAGTACCTCCAGCACCTCAGGGTGCTGAAGGATGCTCTCATCAAATCGAACCTATGACTACCAATGTCATTCCACCAACACCACTGAAGGATGTTGGCAGCAGTTACAGCCTTCTGACCCTCCTCGTCATCCCTCCCCACATGAACGTGGTGCTTCCGTTGATGCAGGAAACATCAACGACCTGTTCTCTGATCCTCAGGACAGCAAAGACGCACCTTCCTCGACGTCAGACCAGCCATTTGTTCCCGGACGGAAGTCTGCCAACAACAATGCGATCCTCGAAGCTGTTTTCATCGAAATCGAGCAATCATTCCTTGAGCTCTCTCAGTCGACATCAATTCCAGTGCAGCAAGTCATCAACTGGTTCTTGAAAAGTCAAGGTCGGATGACAGTCAGCACTAACTTCTGGAACATATATGCTCGCAGTTACTTCAAGGATCACACAGAGCAAGAACTTGCGCGTGTTGGGTATAAGGTTCCTGCAGACGGAGGCTCTCCGGGTAAGTTACTATCATATTTGTTGATGTCGTACTTACAGTTCCGTGGATGTTAGGTATGTCAATTCGGACAAAACGTTATGACCTCTTCAAAGAGGCCTTTCCAGACACATACAAAGACATTCTGTCTGTCCATGATGAAGTGAAAATGCTATCTGCTTCCCCTCAAACTGTCTCTCAACGCGCACAAGAGTTTCAAAAATACTATCGAAGGATGTTTAGTATTGTAAGTATACTTCCCTTCATGCCTCACTGCTTGTTGTGCCCTGACTGTCTTCGTTATAGGCTGATACCGCTGCTGCTAAATTCGGCTTTGAGACCGCAATGGTTGTCTGTGGCAAAATCGTCAATCAAGACGCCTCCCTCGGTCAAGTTCATACTACACCAGGCGCCACAGAGGTAAGTATCTTGGGGGTGGTATTCAATACTGAGATGATCGCTCATTCTGGTCTGGTAGTTCTGGAGTACACAATGCCGAGCTGATGATGACACTATCATCGGTCACCTCAAAGCTCATGTCTAGTAAGTCTCAACCAGTGTCTTACTATCTCTTTCTGATTCAACTTCGAAATAGCAATAAAACCTCACTGGCAGTAGTTGATGATGCCTTCAACGACTTGCCTGAAGATGATGAAGAAGCCGCTTCTCGGGATGCTGACTCGATTCCTTCCACCGAAGTCGAGGGTCGCGATGAATCTCTCCGGTGGCTCAAGAAAGCAATCGCGACACAAGTCAGTAAGTAGCTATTCAAGTTGTTCTTCAGTTCAGCCTGACATGCTCATATAGCTAAACTTGGTGGGAAGTTTGCATCCGACAAGAATTTCCCCTGGAAAACGATGCCCAGTGCCTTAGCCTCTGGCGGCCTGAACATAGAAGGGTATCCCGCCCACAAGTGTCTCATGCCGGGTGAATCCCATGATCCGACGTCGAAGAATAACAAGGGGATAGGTGTATTGACGTTCAAAGAGGTTGCAGCGCTTGTTGATGCTTTCAAGGCTGGCACCATGCGGGTGGTCAAGTCTTCCAATACGCCCAGTAAGTTTTGTCTCTATTTAGTAGTCTAATTCTAATCAATTTCTGTAGCATCATTGATCGAATCAACAGAGCCGGTTATCATCGGAGAGGCTCCTCCTTCCACTTGGGAGCACGCATCTGCTCGTCGCATGTTTGCTGATCGGCATACAGACTATGGTGGCCCAGAACGTGTGGGGACAAGTGTTGCACAGACCAGAGTCAAGAAGGGAAAGAATAGAGCTCGTGATCCCGAGGATGGAGAGGCTGTCATGTCTCCCCCGCCTGTCATGTCTCCTCCCCCTGCTCGTCCCTTTAAGGTTGTCGCCAAGCCTGTTTCTTTCAAGCCCCTCGCCCCTCCTCCTGCTCGTCCCTTTCGGGTTGTTGCTAAGCCAACTGCGCCAATGGCTCCCAAGGCTGCTGCGCAGGAGGTCATTGAACTCACTTCAACTTCGGAGGGCTCAAGGGATGTGACAGCGGAGGTGGACACTGAATACGAAGACGATTTACGCGGGAAGAAACGGAAATTGAAGTCAGGAAGTTCTTCTCGGGTGTCCAAGAAGCGTGTGTCTGCAGAGGTTGTCATTGAACTGAAGAAGGAAGGTGTGCGTTCCAAGGCGAAGCCATCACCATCCGATGCCTCTGTATTGAAAGGGGGGCCGCTGTCACCATTAACTGTGGGGTCGTCTTCTGTTGACGAAGAGCACTCGTCTGGCTATGAAGGTTTGTGCTACATACATCATTTGTCTTTACTCACTAACCATCTTATTCAGCTGCCCAGCCTGTTCAACCTGCAGCTCGCATCCAGGACAGTCCTCCCAACGTACAGCCGAAATCCAAGGGTACGTAGTATATACATTTTGGTATCTACATATTGTTAACTTACTTATTTGCAGCACTCCCCAAACCAAAACGCGTAACAAAGGCATCCCGGGCAGCCATGCGCCGCGTACACCAGATGATGTATGCGGTCGATTCGGAAGAGGAGGATGCTCCAGGTCAAAAGGACTCAAAGGCAACAACAGATGCTGGAAAAGGTGGTGTTGTGCTTGCTGACCCTCAGCCTGAGCCCACAGCTCAGCCAGCAAACCCCACCCCAATTGAACTGCCAGCTACTATGGTCACCCCATTTTTGCCACCAGAAGTCATGCCCAGTGTGGCTTCACAACACGAGGGCTCTGAGCAACCCCAACCCTCAAATAGTACACTCCAGACCACGTCTTCCCCTTCAATACCTAGCAATGACGAGAATGGAAGGCCCCAAGCTCAATCCATGGACCGTCCATCTTCACATCCTGCTGGGGAGAGGTCCCTTCCGCAACCTGAGCCTCTTCACACTGATCCTCATATTGAGGTGGTCAACCGCTATGCCCATTCTCCATTGCTTCAACGCGATGCTCCCATCACACGCAAGGCTCCTTCACACATGCACAAGCTCCCCAGATATCCTCGTGAGCCTTCTGTGCCGTTACGTGGGCCTCTGCTTCACCCTCGCGAGGCTTCTGTGCCGTCATGCGACCATCTGCATCATTCTCGAGAGCCTTCTGTGCCGTTGCGAGAGCCTATGCTCCATCCTCGAGAGCCTTCTGTGCCATTACGTGGACCTCTGCTTCACCCTCGCAAGGCTTCTGTGCCATTGCGCGATCATCTGCATCATTCTCATGATCCCTCGGTACACTCTCAGGAGGGACCGTCCTACCCACACGATGCCGGTCACTATCGTGAGGCGCACGACTCACTTTATGATTGGAACAATACCATTCGCACCCATCCCCATCCTACTAGCAATCTCAATCCCCACGGCCTTTCACGCGCCCGTAATCTTGAAGAAGCTCGGTATGCTCGTCACGGTGTACCTATGGGATACAACCATTATCCTCCTCGTTACGACTCACCTGGTGAAGGTTACGATGACCGCTATGATGACCGCAGGCATCCATCAGACCTCTACTATCAAGGCATGCGCAGTCAGGATGGGAGGTACTATGGAGATACTAATAGATGGGCAGACCGCCGCTGATACCTTTTTTCTTGTGCTTGCTTTTACCAACATTTCTCTTGTGCCCTTTAGTAGGCAGACTCCTGCTGATACCTTTCCTTTCACCTTTTTAGTGTAGTGACTGTCATTTTGTTACCCCATGCTTTCCTGTCTCAAGTTGAATGCAGTGCCTCCTTCTGAATAAACTAATTTGCTTTTGTATTTCACGCGTGATCCATGTCACTCCCGCAAAAAAAAAAATGAGAGATCAAAAAGTGCATAGTTGAAGGATTGAACATAAGAGTCTGCGAAAATCACCACAGCACTAACAACTTTACCACCGTGGCTCTGACCATGCAGCGTGCACATAATATATGAAGGCATTTGGCATTCAAATTACTTCGTCCGGTGTGTCGCTCTCATGTGTTGCTTCTATCGATCATTGATGACAACAAGAGAATTGATTATCAATGGAAGTTATGTGGTTCCTATACACTCCTCCCTCTTGCTTTTTCTTTTTCATGGATCTCACTCAGCTCGATCATGTTCTCGAACGTTTGGCATCGCGCTACAAGGTGAACACCCAGGAGGTGTTGGACAAATGGTTGGAGTCGCGACAGGTCCGTGATCCTGAGGGATGGAGGCTCCTTGATGGAATACCTTGCATCATTGGTGGGTTGACAGCGCTTCTCGGTAAGTGTCATTCACATCATAGTATAGAGCAGCTAAGTATTTTACAGGGACCCTAGAAGGACGAGGGGGAAACTTCCCATGGAAGACACTACCTACCGTTCTAGCCCATCGTGGGTGTATCCTCGAAAACTACCCTGACAAAATCCTTCTGCCCGGCGAGAGACGTTTGACACTGGCAAAGAGCAAGGGCATACACGACCTCACAATGTATGAGCGCTTCAAACTTGCGGATGCCCTCAAGAAAAACGCCCTCACTGTCAAATCTGTTGCGACAGACGCTCGCAAAGGTCTTACGGCCTCATGTGTCCCTGTCATCGTTGGAGAAGCGCCCATTAATTCACTTCACACTCGCGGGCGACGAATGTTTGCCAATGGACGCATAGATAGGCTTGGCCTGACCCGTCTGCGCAACACCTCTCATTCAACTTCTGGCCCCACGTCATCTAATTCGCGCAGACTCCGTATGTTCGTAGAGGTACCACTGGCGCCGCCCTCCTGGAGGTTGAAGGCGATTCAGCAACATTCGCCAGTTGCTGGACCCAGTCATAGCAACCTCATCCCACAGATCGCCGCTATCAACAATGAAGACACAGGAGTCAGCAATCCCGCTACCGAGGACGAAGGAGAAATTGATCAGCTTGTCAGTTCGCAGCCTGTAGGAGAGAACTTGATCTGTGAGCTGCTCGTGCCTCTCTCTCATGTTCACGCAATTAATATGACCCGCAAGAGCCTCTCTTTGACCCTCGTGAACCTCTGTTTCATTCTTGCGAGCCTCCCGTCATGCATATACTAATCGGCACAGCATTCGTGCACGTGATCCTGTTGATTCAAGTGCGGCATCATATTGCCTTCTATCCTTACTCTGTCCCTTCACCGTTGTCTGCAATGTCACGCTCTTCCATCTGCGTACACGCTCGAGCACAATACAAGCTTGTCTTGTATTTGTGAATATCAGGACCGGCATGGGGTGATGATGAGTATAGATGGCCTGTTACTAGTTAGAGAGGGACAACGAGTGTGTATTTTCTTTGTGGTTTGAATGTCTTATCGTATCCCTTTCCCGTTCATGGCTTCTTCGAGTTGTTAGTGTCTCTGTCCTATTCACACCAAATATACTGTCTGTTGCACCATCATGATAGTATTGAGAATTCACCGTGTTTGAAACATGTGTTGTAAAACATATGAACCAACTATTTTAAACAGTGAGGGTGCTGCATGGCCTCGCACGCTTGATACCTACCCTCGCGAACCTCTGGGAGTACAGAGGCAGTACACTAAGGAAAGGGCAGGGACCTCTTGTGGCAATTACAGGGAGCCTCTGTGGAGAGGCATACCTCACAGGTAGGTTTGCTGCAACATAGAAACCCCACCTGATAGATCATGAGACGGGCGCTAAAGTGCTGTCAAGGGTGCCAATAGTCCCATGGTATGTCAATTGTCTGACAGCTTACTATGATTCACGCTCAACTCGTCAGTCCTCTGAGCAGTTCCTGGAGCTTTTTTGGAACAACCTCCTCGATGTTGACATCGACCCTACTCCATATGGCACACATTCGTTCCGGAGGGGGGGGTGCCAGTTCCTGCATGTCGAGAAGCATTGGTCACTGCGGAGAATCTGCGAGTGGGGAGGGTGGAGTGTGGAATTTACGAACATGACAATCGTGAAGTATCTCATTTCTTCGAATGATGATCCCACTGAGCCAAGGGAGCAATTCCTGAACCCTAACAGACGGCCGATGGTGAAGTGCTCTCAGTGCGGGAGATGCTGTTCCTGTGGCTAAACTCTGCTCGCCGTCCGTACTACATTACATTATTTTCCCTTTCTTTGCCTTGCATTTTACCAGTCACTGTTTGTATAGCGCATTTTCTTAGCAACAAGGACTATTTCGGCCTCAGACGCTGGAAGAACTTTGAAGACCGATTGTCTGTTCACACAAGGTGTCAACAAGGACTCTCTTGGCCTTGGATGCTGAATCCTGGGCATTCCATGGAGTGAAACATATGCTGAACTGTCGCAAATAGCATGGGTTCCCCATGGACTGGAACCAGGTTCAGAACATCTTGTTGTATAGGTCCCTGGCTGGGACGGCAGTATACCAATACCTGTTATCATCGTGCCAAAACCCATGTGGTCCGGGAAGCAGATTCTTAGCATGGTGATCCCCTGCGGTATCAATATTCATAACTCGGGCCCCAGATCCTAAGTCCTTGTCCTCCATCTTTGGTGTTGCTTTCGAGGAAGGAAGACTGTAGGCGCCCTTCTCAGAGTGGTTTGGTGCACATCATCTTCCAGACTGACTGTCTTCTTGTGCAGTTTTGACCTTGGACGCTGGAGGAAGCCCTTCTCAGAGTGGTTTGGTGCACGTCATCTTTCAGACTGATTGTCTGCTCACGCAATTCTGACCTTGGACACTGGAGGAAGCCCTTCTCAGAGTGGTTTGGTGCACGTCGTCTTCCAGACTGATTGTCTGCTTGCACAATTTTGACCTTGGATGCCAGAGGAAGAACTTTAAAGACTGATGGACGCCAGAGGAAGAACTTTAAAGACTGGATGGACGCTGGAGGAAGAACTTCAAAGACTGATTGTGAAGGTGTCGACAAGGACTCTTTTGAACTCGGACGCTGGAGGAAGAACTTCAAAGGTGTCATATTGTAGCGGGCTGGGACATAGATACTACTTGTATTGATGGCATTGAATGTTTACTCCTCTTCCTCTTCCTTGATGTCCTCCTCCTTTCTTTTCAGTATCGCGGCCACAGCTTTCTCCTCTGCAGCATCCCGCATCTCCTCGATGACTTCCATTGCCTCTGCATAGCCGTTCAGTTGCATGTAAACGTTCCGAATAGCATTTTCATGAAATCCGTGTTGTTTTGCGAGGTCCTTGACTGACAGCGTGAAGCCAAGCTGGGCAAAGTGCCTAACATCACTGTCGTGTATCTCAACATCCATCATAAGTTCAGGCTCTGGACTTGCATCACCATCGCCCATCACTCTAGCTTTAGTGTCGTTGTTTGTGACTGGTGTTGACATGCTTGTGGATGCTATTCTGATCTGTCAGTATCGTGGTACCGTCATCCATGAGGCCTACCTTGCCTGTGTTTGAACGAGTCTGGTGTACGATGTAGTTATGGTTGATATGGGAGATGGTGAGATTGAAGCGAGAGCCCCTTATTTGAAGTATGGCCCCTTTTTTCCTCAATGTGTTCAAACAAACACACACGCACACAAGCTTACTCCGAGCCTCCAAGTCAACAGAACGTGTAGCATTGATCATTATTCACAGAAAGCTATGATATTACTACTAGTTACTGTCCATCATCAGTCACGGACCATGAGTCCAGTCGTCAATTCGATGTATTTCTTCGCAATGGCAGATGGCTTCGTCATCACATGCTCCTCTCCTCCTCGCCGGTAAGTGAAAAGGTCGTCGAACTCGGCATGGAATTCTTGGTGAGCACGCTCCACCAGTGCAGCATGTTCTGCCTTGCGCTCATCACGAAGTTTGTGGACAATGGCAGTGAATTTCATCCGCTCACCATTGTCAGCCGTAAAGTCTGCCCAGAATTGATCTGGGGTGCCCCGCCTGTAGCGTTCGATGACATCCTGCACAACCAGAAGGAGGATCAGAAGTAGGAAGGGAAGTTGTGATAGAGGCACTCACCCGCCAGTCGGTCCACTTGCTTTTCGTACCCTTCCATTGCTGATCATGACCGTAGCGGTAGAGCAATGGCCAGTACGTGATAGCGATGGGGTGGCCTTGAATGGTGATGATGGACTCGTTCTTCCAGTGCGTTGTGTGGTCATCCCACATTGCATTGAGACGTAGTATATCATTGGCGAAACTGACAGCAGGGGGATCTGGGATGTCGTTATCCGCCAGTTGGAGAATAGTGCCGTCCCCAAGATTGAGAATGCGCAGCTTGTTCAAGCTGCCTGGTTCCAAAGGAGGTTGTTGGCAGGCAGTTGTAGCTGCGCCACTCGCACCCTGCTCAAACATGCTACCGTCAGTTTGAATGGAGCGATGTGGGGGAAATAGCCACTCACCATGTCCACCGTTTCAGCCACCTGGGGTCGAACAGATGGAGACAAACCAGCAGCGCTTGGCTGGAGGGCACCTTGAACAATTTCGACAAGCCTCATGCCCACGTTCTGGATGATGGCCTCTTCCAAGAGGCCATCAGCAGGGAAAGATTGCGGCGTGGTGTTGCTGCTAAGAGCAGGCGTGTTTGGGGTGCTTGCTGGCATGGGTATACTGTCCGTCAGTGCATACGGATACATGCTGGTGATGGTATCAGCCTGCCCGCCAGTGTATTCAGTTCAGTGGGACAAAGCCAGAGTGAGCACGAAAGTACTCACCCAAGGCAGCAGTGCGCTGATTTCTGGTGCCGTCCGTGTGTCCTTGGACCAACTGATGTCAGTGGCTGCAGCATCAGATGCTGTCGTGCCAAGCAGCTGCTCGCGGTGCTGCATAGATTGCTTTGGGCGGCTGGCTGCCTTGGGCTTGCTCGTCGAACGCACTCACGAGCCCTTGTGGGCCTTGTGAGCCCCTGGTTTGAGCCTTGGGAAGGAGATGGATGAATGAACATTATTTTGAGCAGACTGCTCCGATGCACCTGTCCCATGCATCGTGGTTACGACTGAATTCCTCCAGTCATTCGCGAAGGACTGTCTTGTTACCAGAGGTAGGGAGGCCAAGTTGGACACACTTTTGCTTCAGGGCTTTTCCAGCCATACTGTAGCTGCATGATGCAAGGATTCAGCCCACCGAAAAGCAAAGGAAAGGGGAACAACAGCCTCACATTTCAACATGCTCGATTTCTGGCTCTCCATCCGATCAAAAGCGGAGCGGGAGAGGCAGGGACCCTGATGGCCCATCGACATTTTCGACCGTGCCAGCCACGCTCCAGAAAGACCCATGTTCAGCAGTAGACCCTGCTGTAGCAGTGGTGAGCTGGGTGCGGAGATCAGGAGAGGGCGTCAAAGTAGTGATGGAAGTCATTCCGACGTCACGGTCGCGATGGCAGATGGGAATGAGGCAAGGACAACAGTTGCAGAACGAGTTGACAGGGATCTTTGGCCTCCACCAGTGGTAGGTGACCAGGAGGCTGAGAGAGAGTAACACAGCGACGAGGATGAGCGCTCCGCCCACGTGCAGGCCTCCTGAGGGGCTTGCAGAGTCGTTTGACTCGTTCCTGCGTGCAATCTTGCTGTGGAGGACAGCGAGAGGGATATTGATCTGGGAAAAGCAGGCGGGTGTCAGCAATCGTCCTAGCCGAAGAACGTACAGCAGAAAACGGCCCAATGGAACGACGACGACGACGACGAACGGGGCTGAGACCGACGTTCGATCTGCGGCTGCGGTTCCGGGGGTCTGCGCCACCGCGATCGAAGCAAGAAAGACGTTCGTCGCTCACGTCATCGACGAAACGGAGAAACCCGAGCGTCACGCCCGCAAACGGACCGTGTTGTTTTCGAGAGAAGCAAAGCAAGGAGACTTCAAGTTGGTGGTGAATGCGTGTACAACGCTTATATAAGCGGAAGATTTGTTTGAGTCAATTATTAATAAGGCCACTCATTTTTGAAATTGCACATACGAAGTCTCTTGAACAGGGGTTTTTCACCACGAGCACCAAGTAAGCTCTGTCAAAAATTGTGATGCCGATATGACTTACTAGGGCAGCTGCCCATTTAATGGGTGGTGCCAAACAAAGTCATCATTACTGCGTTATCTGATGCGCCCATGTTTGTCTGTGGCGTCAATCTCGATGCGTACAAAGTTCAAACCAGAGTATACCGTCATTTCGAGCGCCTCGAGCACTATCAATTGCCATGCCCCCATCGCCAAGGTCGTCATGACAAATTTGGCATCGAACAGATGCTTTCACGTCCAGTATTCGTGCGGTGGACATCACTGACATCAAATCCGTCGCCAACATCATTCCAACCTACACTGAAGCAGCGGAGGTTGTCGGAATGATAATCCCTTCACGTGTGTCATCATTTCCTTTTGATCTGTTGGTTTGGCCCTGAATGTTTGTAGTGGTCTTGAATTTCGTATTCCGGTCGTCAATGCGTCCTGCATCGACCTTGTTGTGAAGCTCAAGAGTACCACAACTTACAAGGCCATCACAACTGCCATGAAGGAAGCCGAAGAGGGTCCGCTCAAGGGTATCTTGTCTATCCCTGATAACGTTCTGGCGTCTACAAACTTGCTTGAGCGTACCGAGTCGGCCATTTTCCATCTTGGGTTTCAGTTCGCGGTCTCTGATCGTTCCTTCAAGTTGGTCGCATACTATGCCAATGAGTGGGCATACTTGAAACGCGTATGTGATTTGCTTGCGTATGTGGTCAAGAAGGATGCGGAAAGGTGAGTGCCATTGGAAAGGAAATGTGTGTTGCTCAAATATTTTTACTTGTTAGTGTATGGTACTATTAGTGTGAACACGTAGAATCGCTGTTATTGATATTGCCGTAAGGAGCCAGGACTTGCTTGCAAAGTTAAACATGGTTTGATAGAGTCATACAGTTGCATATTGGACATATCCTAATTGCCCTAGAATGGCTAATGACTACAGCAGAATTTTAGCATATATTGACCTATTGATCCTTCTCTTTCTGAACCTCCTCAGTCATCATGTTCGTCAGTATTCTAGCCAGTGCTCCCGCGATTTCGCTCGCCTTTTCCCTATCGCACTCCCGCAACTTGCGCACGATGCTCGAGTTAAACTTGTCGGGGTGGAATCTAAGTATTTCTACCTTCAGTCGGTCTTTGCGCGACTTGGTCTCCATCCCTGGGCGGAGGGGGTGGAAGATGAATTCCTCCACGTTGCGGCGGGAGATATCATCGGGGGATGCGCAGCCTTGCTGAAAGGTGGGCCACGGCATCTCGAAGAGCATGACTGAAGTCAACTTCTGACTCAGCTTGAGCTCTTGCCACTTTGCGTCGTAGAGCTGGAAAAAAGCGACGAGATCCGCTTGAGCTTTGTTGCGAAGAAGTTCTTCTTGGCGCTGCCTCTCTTGCCGTCGAGCTTCTTCGCGAAGGCGCTGCTCTGCTTGCTCACGGGCGCGACGTTCAGCTTCCTCCTGGGCTTTACGGAAAGCCTCTCGTTTGGCCTGGAGCTCGCGCTCGCGCTGCTCACGAAGACGCGCCAGTTCCTCTGCACGACGCCTAGCTTCTTCTTGTCTGCGCCTGGCTTCCTCTTGTCTACGCTTCTCCTCCTCTTGCCGCTGACGTTCCTCCTCCAAACGGCGCAGCTCCTCCTCTTCCTTCTGCCTCCGTGGTTTATCCTCCAATCGGAGGGCAGCTTGGCGGTCGCGCTCCACGTGCTCCAACTCACGCCGCGGACCCAACGCTTCAGCGCGTGCGACTACCTCTCTGGCATCTCCAAGCGTGTGACTGCGTAGCTGATCGACGCGGAGGTCCTCGAGCTGCTTGAGGAAAATGCGATCTTCGGCGGTCATACCACCGGCTTGCATAGTCTTAAGAGCGACATTTTCGAGGTCCTTGAGAGCCGACGCTGCTTTTTCGCGCCTGAGCTTTGCTGGGTTGCAGAACCGGGGGCCTTTGCGACGGAGTCCTGGACGAGTGACTGTGAGATGGTAAGTGAAGCGTTTGTGGCAGTGTTTGCGGCGCGGGTGGACGATTTGACTGGGGAAAGCCTTGGGCGCGCTCTTCTTGAAGACCTTTGGAACAGTAGCCTTCATGGGTGGACGACCTACACGGGCGGTGTTGGCTGAGGGACGAGAGTAAGGGTTCTTCAAGGAGGGGTTCAACATCCTGAATCCAGCAGGTGTTTGCGCGAAGAAGGGGATATGACGGTATGGCGTCTTAGGGAACATATTTCTTGAAGGTGGTTGGGCGTGGACAAAGTGTCTTGAGTGTTGTGTTGTGATCTTGGAACATCACGTTCGTATGGGAGTGCGACCTTTAACGGCTTCAGCTGTGGACATTCTTGTCCACAAGTCATGCTAAAGTTGTGTGGATCAATGGATTTCCTGAGGAGTTTCGGACTCCGCAACGAGGTAGTGGAGATGATAACATATTCTACTTCTCCGATAAGTAATGTGGACGACCGGTTTCGATCATCAATGGTAGTCAGAGGAAAAACTGACAAGTTACTTGTGGCCACTGTATAAGGTTCGCACCCCTTGGAAGCTCATTGGCATTTCCCTTCCTTGGTAACAGTGGGCATGCCACAGCTGGCAGTGGCCATGCCAGCTTCAGGCGTCAGCAGTCAGTCTCGCGATCAGCAACGTACCGACATATGAAAGTTATTCACGATGTGTTACTAATGGTTCAAAGGCACTTATACATGATGGGTTTGACACAACCTGCTTGCGGATTCCGGTTGAGTCTCTGAAATAGCAGAACATGTACGATTGTCATAATAACGAAGTAGAGCTGATGAAACTTCCTAATGTTATTGAATATATTTGGATGTGCGAAATGGCTATCAACCTCGAGCTCATGATGGATTGCATCAGCATCCATCAGATTCGCAAGTACTCAGATCCTTACGATATTACTTTCAATCCTTATGACATTATACCCCGATGTTCGACTCGGAGGCAAAGGGCATGAGACAACCATTAATGTTGCAGGGCATACACTTGGAGGTATTGTCACGGTGTTGAAAATCCGAGTCTTCTGTCCAACGTTTGCTGTGTTTGCACCTATTCTGTTTCTATTTCTGCGTTCCGGTGTCATGCTGAGGTTAACGTCGAGCCTTGTTTGGATTTGGAGACCCTTGTCAGCGGATGAGCTGTTATCCTCCCCAGACCTAGGCCGGCGACTCGAACTGAGAGTGCCGATAATCACTGAGACGCCAGCAGGTTTCTTCGGTGAACACATCACGCATAGGCCTGTGTTAGATCGATAATTTAACTATCGGAACTCCTTCAAGTCAGGCAAGAACATACTTGGCATCGCGCACGGCTTTTCAAACCTTCGTGTTGTTCAAGTATTCCGCGTGTGTAACACCGCCTCGCAGATCCATAATCAAGTCTCTCATACATACACTTGATCCAACCGAGGACTTACAGTTTCTACTTCGTTTCATATGACAGTGCTTATGGCTGTGAATCAAGATAGGAACGAATATTCATCCACATTATGGCTCAAGATGGTGGTGGTATATCTAGCAGAAACGCCCCTGTTACACCACCATCAAGTTCGCTACCCCCTCACTCCCATCCCTCGAATATGACCCTAGTTTCAAATAATCCCAGCTGGTGGCCGACGATTGATTCGACAGCGCGGATTGCTGTAAAGTACTTCCGTGAGTTGCAGCGACTCGGACAATCGACAGGGAGGACCACCAGGGATTCTTTCATGGTGTTAATACAAACTCACGTGGTTTGCTTCACAAGGTGAACTTGCACTTTCAATGCAGTTATCTTGTGTTGCTGAAATTCCGCACATGATAGCTTTATTGACCGTTTCTTGTTTCAACCTCGGTTGTTCGTCTTCAACGATCTCGGTGTGCTGAACTATCTCTGCATGCGACTACGGTTCACCGTTTCTATGGCACTCTTATTCCATGGAAACCCAGCTGTATTTTCGCGCTCGTACAGATGTTTGTGGGACCACGCCTCATCCATAGCGTTCGAAAATATCACGCTAATCTCGTAGCCGACTTCGATGCAGGACCCGTCATGATTCAGGAGGGCGTGCGTGTATCGATCACGACTGGTAGTGGTGTGTAGCACGTCCACGAAACACTCCAAGTAACTTAGACCTGTTAGTAGTCTGAAGTCGAAGTTTTATGTGGTACATATGCAAGTTACTTGTACCTTGAATTGTATTGGCCTACTTAGGGGAGACTGATTCTGCGCTTCGCTCTGTCAGCATGCATTCGTCACTGATAAACGACTACTTATCCAACCGCAGAACTTATCCAACCACGCATTCACTTGTAAAAAGAATAAGTATTAAGAGCACGTGAAGGTAATGTGAACTAGGCGTACGAGCGCGCAATATCAAATAATGGAGAAGAGAAGGTAAAAAAATCGAGTAATGACCTCAATCGTATAAAAAAATGGAGGGGTGAGGGTGAAAAGTTCGAGCACGATTGAATTATATCCACAAAAAAATGCTCACTATCTTCTCCCCAGTCCACTCATCGCCCACGCCATCTTTGCCTGCATGAAGCTAAACTTGAAGCCAAGCCACATCACCCAGTCCCGCGCAGTGGTAGCCGAGATTGGGAACAGCCATGATATCTTCTTATCCGGCATCCCCATAAATGAAAGCATGTTCTTAGTTAATGCAATCACTTCTAGAGCGCGTTTATGCCTCTCCTCTGCAAATTCACGCAAGATATAATCAGCGTCGACGCTGGAGGGCTGCGAAGCAGACGCGTTTATATGCTTTACGAGAGCCTCTCCAAGGAACACTGCGTCACGGATGCCGAGGTTCATCCCCTGGCCGCCGGCGGGAGAGTGGATGTGCGCCGCATGTCCAACAAGAAGGATGATGCCACCGTGTTTCGTGGTGATCTTATCAGCTCCTACTGTAGCACCCTAGAGCTCGTCTCCACCAAGCCGAGTGAAGGTCTTGTCAGCGATGGCGGAATGCGTGCGGAACCGAGTTGACCATATAACTTCCTTGATGCGTACTGGTGTGGAGTTGGGATTCACTGAAGCGTCTGATGAGAGGAATGTGGGCCCGAATCGATCGACGAGGTTCTGTAGATACTCCTTGCTCGGTGAATGCGGTATCTCTCCATCCACCAGAGGGACTCCTGCGCCAATACGGTATATTTGAGTATACAGGTACACCTCAGGGCCATCGTGGATCATAATCGAGGGTTTCCCCGACGCCCACGAAGTGTGGAGGAGGGTTTTGTCAAACGCCAGCGGTCAGGCCTAGGGAGCTGTAGATGTTGCCGTTGCCGTCCGAGTCCTCGTGATAATGCGGTCGCTTTTTTAAGTCTAATTGTTCAGAACAGGAAGAATTGTATTATTAAAGGAATGGAGCAGGCTCTTACTCCTAGTAGACTTGAGAGACCAATTCGTCCGTGCGGCTACTAAATCGAGTATGGTCCTAACCTTGTCATGGAGGAGAACAAGGGAATAGAGTGTGGGCTGAAGAGTGGCTACATAACAGTATGGAACTGTACAACATTCGAGTCAGTGGTCTGACATCAGTGAGAAATAGCAGTAGTTGTCGATGTGTGCCTCGCAGGGGATTGACAGGATGTGCAGACTGCCGATGCTGGTATGTCTCGGTGAGATGTTCCGCGATGAGGCCAGATGCTCGATGGCTTCTGAGTCCTTGACGGAAGATTGTAGAAGCTATAAATCTGACATGGGGTGACAATGATTTATCACAAAGGAAGTAAAAGACGAAGCAGACCAAAAATCAACAGTTTGATTTGTGTCTTAAATACGCGACGTAGAACACTCGGAACTTGATAAGTTGTTGCCAGTGGGATATAATTGCACGTCCAATGAGTTCCGGTGAGCCTGAGGGTCGTGCAAATCCTGGCATTCGTCTGTTACCTGATATACCATTGTATTGGCTGAATTGAAGTGATGAACCCTCTTCTGCTCCACTTTCAGTCGTTGGATGCTTCTCCTTTAATCCAGCGCGCTCGAGTTGGACCGTGAACCGAAAACAACTTCTGTCGCAGCCTGCATATGCGATGACATTAAATGGCTCGCAAGGTCTCACCCTCCGACGCGCAGTGCTTGACCTTCACACTCATGCATTTGCACATGGTTAATTGTACACTGCGCTGTCGAGAGTCCACAATCGACGCGACATTCAAGCGTTGTGGTCGCCCACGAATGATGAAAGGGACATGGCTTACTCTTCGTTACTGCTATAGAGAGATCTTGAGAAAAATAAAAGACCATGACCATTCGCAGGCGAGCGGATTGCTTTGGGATCGCTTGCCAGTGTATGTTGTAAACAGAAGATTCTGAATAAATATAAACAAACAATACTCTTCCTGAGTAGAGAATCGTCATTGGACGTCATCGTCGTCATCGCATAGTACATTTCCTTTTTCTCTCACTTAATCACATGCGTCCTCATATACATATAATACGCTCACCTCAGTCGTTGTCTTCAACCACTGAGCGTGTTCCTTCTAACAAATCCGCCGATATATATACCCCATATACCCTCATATACCCCTCACGAACCTCCATGTCGTTCAACGCCGACATTACCGAGATCTCCGGGCATGTCGCCACAACCGTAACTCCCGGCGGGCCGGTCAAACCTCTTATTGTTCGAGATCTCGAGCCAAAACTGCGTGTGCTCAGGGTAACAGATGGATTCTTCATCAAATGTAAGTATGTAATTTGATGGCGGGCTTAAGTGTTCTGACTGGCGGGCCAGTTTTGTACCCATCGAATTGGACGAGCATGGAAGAAGTGGAAGATGCGCAATCTTTGGGTATACTTTTCCCACTTGGAAAAGTATATCCAAAGATTGCGGAACCCCTCATTGGCTTTTGCAGGGTTCAGTGCCCTTTTCAGCACCCTGAAGTTTGGTACCGGCTCAACTACGACAACGAAATCCCAGCCAGCGTCTAGACGATAGGAATCACCCTCTTAATTTTCCAAATAGGATATTATTAGTGTTTACATTTATGACACTCAGCCGTAGTCCCATACGGTGACATTCACCTGGTTCATCCGCAGGTAGAAAAGTGCAGATGTTTTTTACTTGCGGATGAATCAGGTGACACGTCCGAGTCACCGTATGGAGATGAACTCGATCTTACATCATGTTTCTAATAATCTTATTCTAACAGAACATATCACAATCGCCTACAAGGTGGACTGCATTATTCAGCACCATGGGTCGGAGTAGGAACATTGACATGTATCCTAGGAGTGCCTCCTAGGATACCTATCAACGTTCCTGCTCCTGTTGTCGCCTGTTGTCACCGTCTGGAGGCCCCATTCGACTGTCCAAGTTCTCGGATGGCAATTAAGTTTTACTATCATCGGTGCAATCAATCTCCTTCTATTGAGAACCTGTTATGGTAACATTCATGTAGCCATCTATAGATTTGTTCATTGATACTAAGAACATCCGACCACTGGCAGTAGAACATGCATGAGGTCTAGACTATAGTAACAGTATCATCATGCATGAGTGCCACAGCATCAGGTGTCCGAAGAGATGCTTGGGGTTTGGCACAACTTTTGATGTCCTCAGTCTCAGCATCAGGCATACCCACTCTTCGTCTTTCCTGCTCATCCCACCATGCAGCATGCCACGACTCGGAAAGGAATTCTTGGAACACACCCACATCTCCAGAAAAAGTTGCACTTCCTCTGTCCAGTGGTTCGTGTTCTGGCTTTACACTACTCACTGTGCAGCGCTGACGATATTAAAAGAATGTAGCGGCAAGAAATGGGAACTACTCGCCATCTGAAAGAACCTCCCCGCGCCTCTGTAACATTACGCTCGACCTTTCTGAACACAGCAGCAGCGTGTGTGTTGGCCCGCTGACCCCGAATGTTCACATCCTTGAATTTATATAGGTGAGTACGAAGAAGGAGATCCTGGCGGAGGCCATTTAATACATTAAATGCTTGTGCACAGCGCGCAGTTTTCATTCAAACCAGCAAAGTCCAAGACTTGAACCTAACATCACTACTCGACCCCGCGCTGCAGCGTGTTCGTGCGATCCTGCCGCTTGAATGGAGGGCGTGACAGTGCTGGGCGTTATGAGGCAGTGGTAGGTGATTTGGCGCAGACACACAAACCCCGGAGGGAGCAGTTAGCGAAGGGAGAACATGCTACAGAGCGAGACAGCGGTCTAGAAATATCTAGACATGTTGCAATACTTGGGGTAGCGATGGAAAATGTCGTAAAGTATTTTCCGTGCATTGATAAACCAGCCATGAAACAAGCCCATATAGAGTGCGAGGGTTCCGTTCAAGTTCCGCCAGCCCTGCCAGGGCCACCGAATCTTCATGCTGGAATTAAATTTTAATGTCCGTGCACCATCGATTCTGCAGAATCCACAGGCCCTTATTCCAATGGCGGATCATATCCAAGTCAGTAATTCTTAGAGTCATACAGCGCTTATCGGATTTTTTCTGTTCTAGTTCATCAGTGACATGTCTAGTATCGTGGCAGATCTGAGATTACCAACGGGAACAGCTGGAAAGCATCCGTCATCGTTGATTGCACAGGACTCGGAGGCACGGACGGTCTAGTTTCGGTCATCCTAGACCCGTAAGTTGCACATGTCATACTAACATTCCTGAATTCTCGATCACAGCAGAGTCATGGCAGGCATCCTTCCAAGTTCCAAGCCATCGTGCAAGACATGGAAAATGTTATCGCACTGGCAAGTTCGATCATGAAAGAACACCACTTGTGGTATAGAAAGCGGTATACCCAGCCCACAACTTTTTCCAGTCTCAACCACTGGTACAGATTCAAAACTATCAGAAGATTCATACGTAGATAATCCTTGCAGACATTATGTATACTGAGGGGCTCGAGGGCGTTATGTGTCGCGACGAAGGACAAGCATCAACCATACATAACGACTTGTCTCTAATCAGTTATGATTATGCATTACCCTGCCACGAGCAGGTGAGTATTGGTTTTTTAGATTAAATCGGAGATAGGCTGACCGGGGGTAGCATTATTCTATCATCATCGTAAGCCCCATAATTAGGGTGCCATCGCAGTCTACATAGACAGTATCGCTAAAGCAAAACACGACAATATAAACATAGCGCACTATGAGGAAAATTAAGGAAGAAGACTTACTTGTCCATTGGCCAATCATCCGACTGGCCTACAACTGCGACTATGTTCTTGCCTGGTTCAATATGAGTGCAACGGCGAGATGATCTGTGCATTAGCCAGAGAAGGGAAGTAAATAAGTAGACTTCAGTATGCCTTGGCTTCGGATGAGTGGGAATGATAAACCTACCCCTCAGGTACAAGCGTGTCCTGTGGATGTTGTATATTTATAATCAGAGGTTTCTGGATCACACTGCTCGAGTAAGGAGGCCTGCTGTGAGCCCGGATTGCAAGTTTGGCGTTTGGTTGTGGTACTGGCAAGCTATGGTCAGAAAGACCATACTCAAGCCACCACTTCCCTTTCGGCCCCATATAGATGCGCAATACCCATATACGCCCTTCAGGGAATATGGTGTTCGTGTCAGCGCGAGGAACAAGCCAAAATTACAAACCACATACCCCGGGCAACAAACTCTACTGCCAATTTCTGTCTGATACGCAAGCGTTTCTGGAACATCCTGAAGACGAAACGAGCAAAGAAGTAGTTTTTGCCTACACTATCCCCTTCATGGACAAGAATATCTTCGGGTGAATGATTCACCTCGCTGGATCCATGCTGTAGCACATCAATCTCATCTCGCGGACAACCCAACATGCATCTCAAAGACTTATCCTCGGCTAATAGCATGTGGTGAGTTAAATAACGCTCCCTCAGGACATTGTGTATCATGCACTTACGATCAACATTGTCCCCCAATTTCAGCTGCATAAACAAATCGTGGTCGTTGACTATCATGCACGCAAGCCGCAAGTCGGAAGAGAAAGCAGGCGAGAATTTAGAAATGAATTTAGTAAACTCCCAAAGGGCTTCTCGCCGGTTGTTTACAATCGCCCAATACAGCGCCGTGTGATCCTTGATATTGGGTTTTTGGAGGAGATTGGAGAACTCTGGTGCTTGGAGAGCAGCAGCGCAGGAGTTGATAATTGGCCCGACAGGGGAAAGGGTAAAATCAGGAGAGACAATTTCATGGATGCGAGATAGAACTGGGGCACAACGTTTTTGCTTAGATTGTGGGAAGGAAAATAACGAACGTTTGCACTGGACGGAATCTGCTGATACAGAAGTAGAGATTGGATCGTAAGGGGGAGGTAAGTTGGAGACGCCGGACCTGCTGTCGTCGAAGGCTTTGGTGGCCATCATGAAGGAAACAGAGTAAAATAGGGGCCTGCCACAAGCGCATTAATATTCATATTCATATTTTATTTTATTTCTCACGAACCATAGAGAGAATTTCTGAAGCGCTAACTGTTAATTAGACGCGGTGTCCTAAGCCATTGGGATGCTTATAATGATTTGCAGACGGTGCACCTCAGAGGACAAGCGAGGAAGAAAGCAAACTAGTCGGATCTGTTAGTCGGAACTTCAGGGTGTGACGTTGTGGGCAGAAGAATGTCAAGTTGCGAGGGATCACTTCTTCACATTATATGGCCATGAGCTTCTTCGGAAGTTCTACTAAAGAAGTCTCAGTTCTGTTCGAACCGATCGGCACTGCTTGGAAAACACAAAAAGCGCACTTTTAATGGTAGATTACCCCCTGATAGCGTATGTACTCAGCAGTGGGCGGTATACTCCTATATATAACACTATAGATACCACTTTCTGCGATCTATACCTCAGATGGGAGTTTGACTAAGGCTACAGAATGGATTGCGAATAATATTGATACTGCAAGAAGAGATCAGCTTGGAATGCAGAATTGCCTTGGTCTCATTACTCACGGAATCGTAAAGACGTGTCCAGTTGGAGCCCAAGGAGGTATCAATGAGACGGTCGATATATTCACCCACAAGGGAATGAGTCAAGGCGGGTTGAAAGCGATCACGCAACTGAGCCGCAGTATGCTCGCCGAACGCAGCAAAACACGGCAGCTTGGAGTCTAACACAGGTCATTGAGATCAACTGATCCCACCGACTGCGGATCTCTCACCTTTTTGCATCAGTTCCACCAGAGCTGCGGATGATAGATATCAATGGCATGCACGGGACCAATCAAACATAAGGCACTGACTTATGATTCGATCGCAGTGTTTTCTCGCAGCCTCGAACCCCTCACGAAACAGACGCTTAAATTCCAAAAAAGACTCCCCATCCACACCCCCCAGCACTTCGACATATTCCGGTGGCAGCTTGAATGGTGCAGCCTCAAAACCTATGTTACCCGGAGAATTCGACAACATGAACCCGAAGTCTATGTGAATGAGGTGTCCTTCTCGGTCCAACAATATGTTCCCATTATGGCGATCCTTTATTTGCAACAGGTACGTTACGATGGAATAACCTACAAAATGGGTAGAGCATTGAATATGGGAATTGAGGTGTTGAGCATAACAGACCTGCGAGTGACTTCGCAAAGTTGCGTTGCGCTCGGACAAACTTGGCCATAGATGGATCACCGTAAGTCTTGACACGCATGTCAGCACGTCATCGCTTGCGCAAAACGATAAAACGAGGGACCAACCGACTTGAAGTGATCAAGGAGAGTAACATATCCGAAACGGCCTTCCGCCAACCGTCTTGCGTATTCAGACTTCTTGATGGAGTGTATTGACACAGCGTCTGTTATGGTCTCCACCAAGCCCGATGATGCGCCAGTGATTAAGATTTGGAAGCTGAAGAGAGTTAAGTTCATGCCACTAACGTAACTTGGTGAAGCGAACTCACTAGCGGACCCAGCATTGACAGTCCTCTTCTTGCCAAATCTGCTCAAACTGCTGTATAAGCTGAACGGCGACCTGTTCTTGGCGAAGGTCGCCGCCAGTTTTAACGATTACAGAAACACAATCCCAGTTCGCTGGCGATGGTGGGTTCAATGACTGAATACAAATTTTCATAGCAAGGCTATAACCTTACCTAGATGACCATACGGTGATCCGTGCTGTATTCGACTCTGAAAAGGCGGAAATTGCAGTCATACAATAGCAAAATTGGTCAAACCCACCTTCTTCGTCGCCCAAGATTCGCTGAATATTAAGGCGGAAGGATCGGCCTTGTTTAGCTCACGCTTGATGATGGTTTCGTCCTCAGCAGTCTTCAGGTTATCGCCCACATCACCAATGCGCATGATCCCTTCTCCTTCCCTGTGTTCTCGCATGCGCTCCATTCGCTCTTCTTCAAGCGCAATCATCTCCTTCATGATACGGTCCCTGATGGCGGCTGCCTCTGCATGCTGCACACGCATTCGGGTGGTCGCTGGTGAATCGCCAGCCCTTCCAGCGAGCGAGGGATGTAGTGGCCCGATGTTTGCCTGGTGATTCGGACCGCCTAACCAGCCAGAACCAGGGAGCCAGCTCAAAGGGCCAGACGGTGAACTTGAACTATCAAGTGTCGCCGTCGAATCAGAAGAAGGCAATGTGGTTACTGTCTCGCGAACAAGGTTTGCATTGAGCTGCGAAAGCATGACAGCTGCCGTACGCATGCGTTCGGAGTAATCGTCGAGCGAGAGTATACGACTATTGCTTTTACTAATAGGTGGTGGTGGATCGGGCAATTGGGTGGTTGAAGGTAGTGTCGAAAACCGGCCACCAGTGGATGGAAAGGCGGGTGAAGAAGACACCGACAAAATCCCTTCTGGGTTGGGTGAAGATAATGAGGAAGTTCGAGACCACGCAGCCATATCCAGCTCCTTGTTCTTTAGCACAGGTGGAAGCACAATGGACTCGGTAAGGTCTATTGGCCCGCGGAGAGACTCGCCAACCCCGTATAGTTGCTCAACGAGGTCCATCTCCTCATCATCACCGATGAGAGAACTTGTGCTGCTGGTAGCAGAAGCTACAGGGACCAACGAAGCTTCTGCCTCCTCAGCAGACTCATTTCCCAAGGCATTTTCCGAGCCAACAACAGGATCTCCAAGGGGCCTGTGTTTCGAGGAAAGAGGTGACCTGGTGAAAGCAATAAGTTCTCTCGAAGCACCTTTGCGTTCATTCTCCTTTGTTACTATACGCTTCAGCGTCTCCTTATTGCTTCTCTTTGTCGGGTCAAAGTCGAGGTCGTCGTGCAGTATCTCGATGATGAGTAAATAAGGTGCTCGCTCCGCAGAATTGAGCACAACGCTTTCACCAGGGGGAATTCGAACGATCTTGTGGTGCGGTTGAGAGGCATTCCGAGACGCAGTGTTATCGGATGAAGAGCACCACATAGGCATGCACACCTGAGATCCTATATCACGAACTGGGTAGAAACAGAGAGGAAGATGTTACCTCTGCGGGAAGCTTGTGGTTAAGAGCAGTTAATTCGGCTCTAAGGGCGCTTACTCGCGCAGGTTTGGGCACGACAAGTAGGCGGTTAGAGATATGTTCGAGCGTTATTAGGAATTGGACCTGTTATGCTTATGTAAAACCAAAGTGATGATAACAACGGAAACTGCTTACTTCTGAATGATAATAGTGACTTCTAAGGAGATGTGCCTGTGAATTCAAATCATACCGTTGAAGGAGGTTATCGCTGAAGCTCAGTGTACTCTGCCGAAAAGGATGCTGGGTAGTTGGTATCGAAGGAGATGATTGGTATGGGCTGGCAACGCGTGCTTGTTGTGAGGGATCAAGCTGATCGAGTGGATCCTCAGATAATGTTGACCGATGCATGTTTTGCAAATGGACCAGAGCGGGACTTGTCTGTGCGGCAACAATCGTCCGACGACGTTTGAGAATCGTTCGCTTCTTGGAGACTGCAGGACCATGGGGGGTACAAATATCATTAGATGAGCGTTCATGAGAACTAGCCGTACGGTCATCTTCATTTTTTCCATCTGAATCATTGTCATCATCATCCCCAGAGTCATTACGGGTGGTCTTCCCTGATCCCGAAGCAACGTCATTGTCATCGGTCTGGACGCTTTTCAGGTCTGATCCGTCCTCATCAGCACGGCCCTGCTGTAACGCAACCTCACCCATAATCTCAGTAAGCTCAGGCATGGCTGGAGTTCCAGCTAACATCAGACCAAGTCCAATGAGTGCTGGCTCGACACGGGTTTTAACCTTCCGACGTGAGAAGCGCGCCTGGAATGGCAGGTCCAAGCCAGAGTACGGACTAGAGACTGGAGTTGGAAGATCACCGAAGATGATTTCATGACATCTTTGCAACGTCCGCTGGCATACCTGAAAAGATGGAGAACTATGTGATGAGGAGAGATCTTGCAAAGAAGCTTGCATAAGCCAGAGGGTCTCCACAGGAATCAGCTGTGAGCTTGAAGCTACGGGGCTATTGCCTACGTACAATCATGGCTATATGTGTGGACCGTTGTGAGATGTCTACTACAAAGCATTCCAGTGCCCGTGATTTGGAAGGTCGTGTGACAAGCAAATGACTAGCGAAACTATTAGTATGGTTCTCCGACACGATGAACACTGGTAGATACCATATGAAACCCCATACTTCGCGTAATTCCTGCGTGTCGAGCACTTTCAACCTTCGGGTAAGGTAGTATGTGATGCCTATGTTGTCGGCATACAGCATGAGATATTGTAGAGCCACATGAACAGAGAAGAAGGACGGTGATAAAAACAGTCGTAGGAGAAGGGCATGGGACATGTCTGACAGGGCTGGTCGCCGTCTAGGACGGTGAGCAATGAGACTGATCCAAAGATGTCCAGTTCCCACGGCTGCTACTTATTCATTGTTACACGTTGACAACTTTGGTCCAACCCGGACTCTTAACTAACGCTTCACTTTCATTATGCTCTGGCCCCTGCTCGCTCTTTCACTCTTGCCCTTGTCATTAGCGGCCAAGAAACCAGCGCACGAGCAGTTGGTTGACCTCGCAGCAGCCGGAAATGGCCTCATACAGCTCAACGAACAGACTTATGATTTACTTGCCTCCCCAAAGCGCAACTGGTCGGCTGCCGTGCACTTTACTGCGCTCAATCCCCAGCGGCGCTGTGCTCCTTGCAAGTCAGTGACAAGATTCTAAACGCGCATTGGAAGCTAATTACGATCTTTACAGAGAATTTGACCCATCATTCACTGCCGTAGCCAAAGCATGGGCGAACGCTCCGAAAGAACATCGGGACAAGCACTTCTTTGCTACTCTTGACTTTGATGATGGGCACGCTGTCTTCCAAAAGGTGATTGCACCACCAAACACTATGAGGCTACATTCGAGAATTAACGCACTCATTAGCTTGGCATGGCTTCCGCGCCAGGTGTTCACGTGTATCCCCCGACCGAAGGACCAAATGCGTCTGCGAAAAAAGCCCCCTTTAAATACGATTTCCAAAAGTAGGATTTTCACAAAACCCTTGATTTACAACCCTTAGTATACTCTACAGTGGTTACGAAGCTGGACCCCTCGCTGAGCAACTTTCTGTTCACACCCCAATCCCTATCCCATACAAGGCTCCCTTTGACTGGGCGCGGGCAGGCAGCATCGCTTCACTCATTCCAATCATTACCCTTGTCTTCCGCTTTATCAAACCAGCACTACAAAACCGCTGGGTCTGGGCTGCCGGCACGATCGCTACCTCTCTAGTCATGACCTCTGGCTACATGTTCACTCGCATCAGAGGTGCACCCTATACTGGCCCTAAT